GTTTTTCACAATGTTTCTTTTTATAGACTTATGATGGCATGAATTGTAATTCAAAAGGCGATCTGCTGCTGTGTCCTTACGAAACCATTTAACATCAATGCTATTATCATTCCCATTACGGGTCAATGTAGTGTCAAGAAAATTGATCTTCTTATTCTCTTCGTATTCCAAAGTGAATTTTATAGTTCCTTTTTTTTCCGTTCAACTTCTCAACGTAGTCTTCCAATTCATTTTTACTCATTTTTGTTAGAATCAGGACATCATCCACGTATCTAAAGAACTTTGATGATGCATTTACTTCATGCAGATTTTTCTTAATGTAATCATCCATGTACAGATCACTAAGTAAAGGTGAAAGACAATTACCCATGGCAAGTCCTGACTTCTGCTTGAAAAATCTTTTGCTGAATTCAAAATAACTGTTCGATAAGGCAATTTGTATCATTTTCTTAACATCTGATTTCGTAAAAGAACAGTTCTTGAAAGCTGTCGACTGGTCTAATCTGTTTATAATAATATCAATAGCTCGTGTTACTGGAATATTATTGAACATGTCAGACACATCTAAGCTAGCTAATCTTTCGTCAGATTCCAACTTCACTTTTGTTATTCTTTCAACAAAAATTTTGGTGTTTAAAATACTATTATCGATAACTGATCTTAATTCTTTGATGAGTGAGAAAGCGAGCTGAGAGAGTGGTGAGGTGATGGTATTTCGACTACATGTTATTATTCTCATCGCTTGATCAGGTTTATGTAACTTGGGTTGACCTCTAACATAGGGTAAATCATCAATAGACGTAAGGTTTTTATGTTGACCTTGACTGATTTTGTTATTTTCAAATAATTTCTGACTGAAAGATGAAATCACCTTTATTTTCTCAGTTGGATTACTAACTTCGGTGTAGATTCTCGTATCTTCAAGCTTTTCTTCAATTTTAGATATATAATCGTCCTTGTTTAATATCACTATCTTGCCACCTTTATCTGCAGAAATTATCACTATGTCCTCGACGTTTTTAAGTTCTTTCAACATTTTCTGTTCAAACGGTGTTAAATTATTCCTTTTTGGTCTTTTCCATTTTTGAACAAATTCAGAGATTTCAGAAATTGCTAGCTGTTTCACAATTTTTGGAGTTGAGTAGACGGATGTTTCCACATTACTAATAATATCAACTAGGTCAATCGTTTTGGGAGTAGGCACAAACTTAAGACCTTTTTCTAATACTTTTAATTGTTGTTCAGAGAAAGTTTTGTTCGAATTATTCACAACGTAAGAATTTTTCTTATTTCGTATATTATCCAAAATGTTGCCGTTATTTAAAGATTTAGCGCACCTTGAACGACGTATCGGTTGATTAAGTAAGTAGGCAAGTTTCTTATCGTGTTTTGATTTTGAAATTTCTCTAATCATATCTAAGCAATCTACCCAATCGCCTTTCTTTTTTAAAACGATAATAGCATTCTAATCTAATTTAACAGTGACACAAACATTTAAGAACCGAGTCATGATGAACACAGTTAGAAAATATCGACTTTGTATGAGAAAAATATCTTGATGCTGAATGGAATTGGAACATGAAATACCTTTTACTCACTGTAATCGAATGAATATTTTATTCTTTTAAACACACATGAGTCAGGCACTTTAACTCGCTCTGTTTCTTATTCTGATGAAAGTGAAACAAACCCAAAAATGGTATGTTATCTTTTCATTCAATACCTTTGTAAATTGAATTTCTGCATCTATTTACATAACTGGAACAGACGATATTCTCAATGACTTATTCTTATCACAACGGTGAAAACAAGTGACGCTAATGAAATATTTTTAAAGATTTGTCGTCAGGGTTCACTCTCGAAAGCAACAATGCCGAGCATACTCAAAGAAGTCAAAAATATAGCAAATCAATTTTCCAGAAAAACTTATTGTTGTGAGTTTCTCTGCTAATGGGTAGCGACCGTAAACTATGCGAAAATCCAAACTGTAAAAATTTTCATGTAATCAATCTAGACACTCTAGCAGTATTTGATGGCGACATGCATTTTTTTCTTAAAACTGTTGTTGCTCAGAACATTCAAGAGATCGATCATTATTCAAATAAAAACTTCCATTTTTGATAATGATATTGTCGATTCTGCGAGATATCGAGAGTTACTAAAACGGCAACAGAATCGTCCGTTTATTAGTCTAATCGTTCACCTGGGAAACGGACTGTTGCTCGCGAGGACAGTTGCTCGCGGACAGTTGCTCGTATGGACTGATGCTCGTTTGGACAGATCCTCATCGGACACTTGCTCACCGAATACTTTAAATAAGAACAATAACGTAGTTTATGAAATGTATTCAAACTAATTAATCAACCAATCGACAACTTAGTGTTATATAGGAACCCTAAAATTGTTTATAAAACAGGTTCAAACTAATTATTTCTTATATTGAATAATTTTTGTACACTTAGTATAATATCTGCGGAATTTTGGGAAGAGTACAAATTACAAAGAATTTTTAGACAAGGTACCATAACCTTATATTCACCGTTCAAAATGTCTATCACTGTTTCTTAAACGTCTAAAAACGCTCCGTTACTTCTTTACAATGGTTTTTCATATATTGTCGATCGAAAGAATGAAGAAAAAATTTATTGGAAATGTGAATTTCAAAAAAAATTTTCATGTCATGCACGTCTTCATACAGATTTAAACAATGTTATCATTAAAGTGGTTGGTGAACACGAAAATCATGCTGGCAATCCACGTTCAGAATAGTAAGAAAATTTTATGAAAATTTAAAACAAGAAACTGCACATAACCATACAAATCCACACAATATTTTGACACAAAATTATATTGGTGTTCCCGACGAGATTCGCGTAATCTTACCTACTAACGCAAATTTGAAACGAGATATTCGTCGATGGCGTCAAGATGATAACCCCACTACAATTCCAACAGATAAAAATTTTAAATCCATTCCAGACAAATATCAGAGAACAACGCGTGGTACAGGTTTTTTACGCAAAGACACTGGTCCTAGTGAAGATCACATACTCTACGACTTCATGACAGCTATTGGACGTTTACTGTCGCTATAAATGGTCTTTGCTTTTTTGTTTCCTGTATAGATAAGTCTGTTTTGATTCGTATGATTATGTGCAGTCTCTTGTTTCAAATTTTTATAAAATTCTCATAGTGGTTCTGAATATCAGTCTCATAAGTCCCGATGAGCAAGTGTCCGATGAGCATCAGTCCTAGCGAGCATCAGTTCATGCGAGCAACTTGTCACACGAGCAACTGTCCGCGAGCAACTGTTCTCGCGAGCAACTGTCCTAAATCCGTTCATCTTGATGGACTGCTGCTGGTTAAATCGACGAAACTTGGTTTATGGGTGTTGAGTGCTTCTATTGTTGAATTATGTTCTGAGCTAAGGACGAGAAGATGCAATTTGATATTGTCATCGGCTGTGGTTGGTAATGGAAAGCCAAATGTTAATGTATGGTTGAATGAAGTCGTAGAGCAGTTGAAGCAATTGAAAATGCATGGTATTTCGATTGATGTTCGGGAAAATGGCGAGCAATTAAAAAGGGCTAGTATTTATTTGAGCAATAAAAATGTTGGAATAAGCAATAATTAAGATACTAGTTAGCAATAATCTGTGAGCCATAAAGAATTATATTTGAGCAATTTTATATTGTTAAATGTATAATAATTAATTGATTAAATAGCAGTAGTAATTTCTTGTATTAGCAATAGAAAAAGAGAAAGCACATTATTTTTAGTTACTATTGACAATAAAAAAAGAAAAATGAACAATTACGTTCTTGCATCAGTAAAGCTTTTTTTGCTTTAGATGGTCTACCTCTTTTGCTTTTCGTACCGATTTCCGCATTTAAGAATAGTATTGTAGCAATTTCAAATGTTTTTTTATCTTTCGACAGTTGTAATGTATCAACGTCATCCATAATTTCAGTATATAAATTTTTATCGTCTACTAAACATAACTGTTTTTCTACGCGTTTCCGCATATGAGCCCACCACATAACAATACTACGATCTGTCCAAATACTTTTGAAAATGCATTTCTGATAGTTTCAGAACCATTTGCAATTAGTACTAGATTACTTCTCTAATTCAATTGTCAATAAGTGATCCAAAGAACGAAATCCTACTGGTATCAATTCAAAACAGTTCGAACATCAATCGTCAATCACATTATGGTATTTGGAATCAATACCAGAAGTTACCTGTAGTCATATGGTTTTTATTCAAAAAGCGGTGGGATATCTAAGAATGTTCCCTCGTTAGATAAAAAGAGTTTAATTAAGCTAGATGGCTGGCTAAAAGTATATTTTGCAAAAAACATCGAAGATGTACTACCTTACACTAAAAAGTAAATTTCATTCCACATAAACCATCTTGATTCAAACATATTTCTTTATTATTATGATTATTATCGACCACAAATTAAAAAAAATCGTCAATCAAAACAAATGTCATAGTTTGGATGGCTATCAATAGTCTACATTTTTTTCTACAATCAGTTACGCCAATTGATGGATTGGCAGGTATTTTTTGATTTTAAGTCATTAACATTTATTATATTGAGTCAACCACAACTTTGCCCCAACAACTGTTGCGATGATCCAACAAAAAATTCATTGGCAATTGTCAATACACCTAAAATATATATTTTTTAATAACTCATCAACGATTCTAGATTAACATTTAGACAACGGCATACCGGGGTCTTGTGAATTGAATGCAGCTACAAATGTTGCTGGTTGACAATTTAAGTTTTGTTCAAAATGTATGGCACCTTGAGAAAAACCTGCTACCATACCAGGATGGATTTGGTTCATCATGAACGACAACTTTGTTGACTGATTGGAAATAATAATAAATAATGATTAATCGAATACAGTCCCATAATTGAAGAAACTTATACCATTTTCGTGACTAATGTAGTTATGTACATTTTTTCCTTGATAAAATCCAACATCGAAATCCCCTTGCACAACGTAGTTGATTTCTGCAGCTCAGGGATGTGTTTGTGAAAGACTGATTCCACATTGAGCAATGAAGTCAAGTGTCATAGCTATATCATGTCCAATACCGCCAGGAAAGTTCGTTACCTTTAATAAAATAAAAATTTATATGATGGAAGATAATATCGAACACTGTTTCAAGTTACCGTTACTTGCACCCTCCTTCCTCCAGTTCCATTCGACATTTCAGTTGTTACGTTAAAAAAAGTTAAAAATATAATCACTAACTTCTAGTTTTGATGCTCGATCTTGTTCTAAGGACTATTATTTACATTTTCCAAAAATTGACGTGGGTAAGGTGGAATACCTACAGTGTATTGTGTAGCCAATAAAACAATAAGATAATGGTTGAATGCATGTTGTTGTATTGTTGACTGATTGGAAATAATAATAAATAATGATTAATCGAATACAGTCCCATAATTGAAGAAACTTATACCACTTTCGTGACTAATGTAGTTATGTATATTTTTTTATGTCAATAACACGAGTAAAAACACGAACTATGCTCTTTTGTTTTCTTGTTCCGTTTTTCTCTGTAAACAAGATAAATTATTATATAAAAGTAAGAGAAGATTAAAACTCCCGCTTTATTATCATTTATACAATTTTAAATAAATCATGAATTATTTATTCTTTGTAAGTCAAGTTTAATTTGAAAATTGGAATAGAAATAATGCAAGAAAAGTAAGTTTTCACAGGTCTTGTACTACTTTTTATGTGACTATAAAGTCGTTTCGAATTCACTGTCTTTTCTGTTTGCGCTGACAAAATAGATACGGACTAGAACACACGTTCCGTTTAAAGTAAAGATAAATGAATCATTTACTTTTATAAAATAAAGATAAATTTTTTTTTCATTTATTTATATTTATTTTTTAAATATAAATGATTCATTTACATTTATTTTCCAAAGTAACACTAAATTAACACCCCTAATTCTAACGTGAAAAGACATGTGTCTCATAGAAGGGCAAAAGTTGATAAAGAAAAATCTTTTATTTGCAAGGGGCAGAAAGACATTTTCAGAAAAACAAAAAAATAGTTTTTTTGAAATATTATA